AGTACCCACATGGGATGCTGGCACTGCAGGCGGTGGCTTTACATGCTATGCCACAGTGCTGGCCCCAATGTTACATTTTAATACAGATGCACACACACACACACACACACACACGAGCTATGTGATCATGTGAGGAACACAAAAAGACACAGCACACCTGAAGATCTTTGACCACGGGTATTTTTCTGTTTATCAGAGCTCATTAAAGAACTTGCAGTGTTGCTTATTCTCCACTGTTCAGGGACTCACGAGCAGAGCGCCACTGCCTGTCTTGAATCCCGGGCTCTCGCGCACTCCTGTGACCTCGGTTAGGTGACCCCAGTGCTCTTCTCCTTCCCATGATGCACGCGTCGCGCCTTGGTCCCTGGGCAGGTGAGCAGGGCATCATCGGATCCTCCCCCAGAGGCTCGCCTGGGGCAGGGCCTGCAGCCTCCAGACCCGGCGTCTTTTGTGACGAAAGCAGCCGCTCGTTCTGTCATTTTAAACTTCACCCACTGACCTCATCATCATCAGATTCTCCTCTCCAAGCCATTCCCTGTGTGTGTCGCTCAAAGTCCCTTGTGACAGAGCAGATCGGTCATTCATCACATCTCATGAATGAGCAGGTACTGCACCAAAAGGAAGTGCAATGAGACCAGGTATTGGGGACATCAGACACGGCTTTGCCCTGTGTTTCAGTGCAGGGTGTGACAAACCACAGGACACGGCAGTCACCAGAAGAACCTGCTGGGATTAACCCAAGGGAGATGCTCTCCCTTCCCATGAGAACTACCTGGTTTCAAGATTAGCAGAGGGAGAATGAGCTCTGTCATGCTCAGTTTCACATTTAAATTTCATTCCCTCTATAAATATTTTGATAACAATCCAATTCTTCCTTTTCTAAAACCCCCACTTTGTCTTTTTTTTTTTTTTAAGATTTATTTTATTTACTTGAAAGGCAGAGCTGGAGAGAGATCCTTCCTTCTGCAGGTTCACTCTCCAGACAGTTGAAACAGCTGGCAGGAGCCTGGAACTCCATCTGGGTCTCCTGTGTGGGTGGCAGGAGCCCAAGCACTGGGCCATCTTCTGCTGCTTTCCCAGGTGCATGAGCAGGGAGCTGGATTGGAAATGGAGCAGCCGGGGCTTGAACTGGCGCTCATATGGGAAGTCAGCATTGCAGGAAGCGGCTTTACCCATTGTGCCACAACTGCAGCCCATCCTGCTTCATCTTTTCCAACCTTTCAAAACATTGATCCTTTTAAACCCATCGATCCTCCTGTTGTCTTACTATTTCAGTTTCCTTTACTTGTTTTCACACTGTCATGATGTTTCCCCACGTCGGCATCACCTGGGTTCCAGGTGTACCCCTCATTTCCTGGGGATGGAATCATTCTTCGAAGGCAAGAGATAGTGAATGGGCTGACATCAAATGACACTGTCTGATGTTTTTCTCCAGGTGTGGAGTATGGAATATGATTTTGTGCTTTGGGTTGTTAACTTTGAGTTCTCTTCCTTGATAAAGAAATTATGCTTGGTAGATGAGTGAGGATGTGTCAGCTAGGCCAAGACTGGGGACCTGTGGGGGTGACCTCTGGAAACTGAAAATCTCCACGCGAGGGTGGGTAGGGGCTCCAGCGCCGGTGTGCGAGTGCTTGCTTGGGTTGGCATTCAGGCCCCGAGGGCTGAGGGCCATGCACAGGGGTGCACCCTGTGGGCCCACAATGATTGCTGCCTGTGCCTCCCTCGTGCTACTTTTCACTTGGGAAGGTGGAGACCTCTGAGGGGGAATCTACCATTACACAGTTTCAGATGCTGGGTCCCCAAGGCAGGGTTGGGTTTCTGCTGAGCCTTCGGTTCTGCCCGATTGTCTGCCTCACTGGGATCTCCTTTCTGTGCTCACAGAAGTGGGGCAGAGCCCTGGGATGCTGGCCACAGGAAGGGCCCTGCGCCCTCAAGCGCTCTGCTCTGGTTTCTGGAGCAATGAGCCAGAGGTGGCACCCACCACACAGGTCCCCAAGCCACTGGCATTTTATTCTAGACTCCCATTAGGTGACAGCTACTGCTCAGCAGCAGGTTTTAAAGGGATTGTTTGCTTCATGGTCTGGATGGCCTTGGCTAAGGCTTTCCTGTTCCCAGTTGCAACCCTTCTCACTTTGCTCTCAAACTTGATGGAAAAAGGTGGCCAGTTCCTAGCAGTCAAGTTACACTTTCTGAACAGGTGGTTTAAGGTCATTTATTACATTTTACATGCGTACATTTAATTTTTTCTTTAACTTTTTTTTTTTTTTTTGACAGGCAGAGTGGACAGTGAGAGAGAGAGACAGAGAGAAAGGTCTTCCTTTGCCGTTGGTTCACCCTCCAATGGCCGCTGCGGCCGGCGCACCACGCTGATCCGATGGCAGGAGCCAGGTACTTCTCCTGGTCTCCCATGGGGTGCAGGGCCCAAGTACTTGGACCATCCTCCACTGCACTCCCTGGCCACAGCAGAGAGCTGGCCTGGAGGAGGGGCAACCAGGACAGAATCCGGCGCCCCGACCGGGACTAGAACCCGGTGTGCCGGCACCGCAAGGCAGAGGATTAGCCTAGTAAGCCACGGCACCGGCCTACATTTAATTTTTTCTTAAAGGCTTAAGAGTGAATTCAGTCCCAACGAGGGTGTTGTACTTACAAGAACACAGCGGGGTGCGTGTCTGGCCTGGGGGTTACGATGCCCACATCCCGCACTGAAATGCCTGCGCTCAGTTCTTGCCTCCTCTCCTGGCTCCAGCTTTCTGTGAGTGTGGACCTTGGGAGACAGCAGTGATGGCTCAAGTAATTGGATTCCTGCCACCCAGGTAGCAGATAAAAACTGTACTGACTTCTCTTTCTCTCTCTCTCCCTCTCTTCCTATCTCTGCCCCTCAAATAAATAAATTAGAAAAAATTAAATTATAAAAGAGCCACAGTAACCAGAGGCCGGAGATAACAGTTACTCTCTGACTGGGAGCCACTGGGTCAAGTCAAGAACTGGCAAGTGCTCCAAGTTTCCTGGACTCAGAACTTCTCTGGGGAGGGACTTTGGCCTAGCACTAAGATGCCCGTTAGCCCAGCCACACCCACATTCCACATCACAGTACCCGGTTCCGTCCCCAGCTCTGGCTCCCCAGTCCAGCTTCCTGCTCATGCAGACCCTGGGAGGCAGCAGGTGGTGGTTCGGATCTGGCATCTGGGAGTGAAGCTGCAGATGGGAGCTCTGCCTGTCTCTCTCTCTCAGCCTCTCAAGAGAACATTCTCTGACTGCGGGTTAGTTCATAGCAAGTGATTCCGTGAAAATGATAGAACGTTGCACTATGGATGATGTTATGTAGAAATGGCTGTAGGAAAGAGAAGAAGCTCAAAATACACAAACGGACTTGGAAAAGTTCTTGGAGGAGAAGAGAGGAGAGGAGAGGACAGGAGAGGTGAGGAAAAAATTGAATAGAAAGGTGAGTTTATTGTGGTGCAGTGACGTTTTGAAATCAGTGCATGGTCTTTTCATAGTCTGCACTTTCTGCGAGCGTCTTGAAGGCTCTCTCCCAGGTGGCTGCTCACACCCGCGTGAGGAAGGAGCAGCCACACTCTGGCCGCACGTGGCCACCCTTTGCTGTGTTCTTGCCAGATGGGCAGGCGGCACCCGGCCTGGGCCTCTGCCTCAGAGCCCCCTCTGGCTCCCTGGCTCTGGTTCTCCCACAGCCAGGGGCTACAGGGGGCACCCACCTGGCCTGTGAGCCCCTCTTTCATCTGACCTCCCTGCTGGGGACCTCGGCCTTGCAACCTCTTCCCAAAGGCCCTGAACCCACTCCTGAGACTTGCCTGGGAATGTCAAGGGCACCAGGGGCTGGGAGGGAAGCCTGCCTGCCAGCCCCACCCGTAGTCGGGTCCTGGGTGTTCCAGGTTCCTGGTGACCTTGCACTTTTTTGAGGACAAAGTTCAGAGGGTCATGAAGTTGCAGAACTGAAGTGGATGCTGGCTCTCTGTGAAATGCAAGGCCCTCCTGCCTGCTCCCTAAGACAAGACAAACCTGGCCCAGCTGCCCCCCTAGTTCTTTTTTTTCTTTTTCTTTTTCTTTTCTTTTCTTTCTTTCTTTTTTTTTTTTCACAGATAGATAGACAGTGAGAGAGAGAGACAGAAAAGGCTTCCTTCCGTTGGTTCACCCCCAAAATGGCCGCCGCGGCTGGAACTGTGCCAATCTGAAGCCAGGAGCCAGGCGCTTCCTCCTGGTCTCCCATGTGGGTGCAGGGGCCCAAGCACTTGGACCATCCTCCACTGCCTTCCCGGGCCACAGCAGAGAGCTGGACTGAAAGAGGAGCAACAGGGTTAGAACTCGGGGCCCATATGGGATGCCAGCGCCACAAGCGGAGGAGGATTAACCAAGAGAGCCAAGGTCCCTGCGCCGGCTCCGCCCCACTAGTTCTTAGAGGCCACACCTTCTTCCCCGCTTGCTGTGGACGGCCCCCAGCTCCATTGCTTTTTATTTTTTTAATATTTATTTATGTATTTGAAAGGCACAGATACAGAAAGGAGGAAGAGATAGATCTTCTGTCTGCTGGTTCACTCCCCAAATGGCCACAGTGGCCGGGGCTGGGTCAGAACAAAGCCAGGGGCTAGGAGCTTCATCTGGGTCTCCCATGTCAGTGCAGGGCCTTGGGCATCTTCCACCGCTTTCCCAGGTGCCTTAGCAGGAAGCTGGATCGCAAGTGCAGTAGCTGGGACTCGAACCACAGAAGCGTGGGGGCCTATTTTTCTAAACTTTTCAGTTCTTTCCTAATGGAGAGGAACCAAGGAGGGAAGAGAGGGACGGAGGGAGGGTCAGTAGATGAACGGGTGGTAGATGGGTGGGTGGATGGATGAGTGGGTGAGTAAGTGGATGGATGAGCAGTAGATGGATGACAGGTAGCTAGAAGGATGGATGGATGAAGGGATGGATGAGTCGTAGATGGGAGATGGGTGGGCGCATGGATGGACGGACGGATGGGCAGACTAGAGACTAGCAACAATAATCCCTCGCGGGACCCCCACACTCCTCCCGCTTCCGGTGCGGCTCCCGCACAGCAGCCAGCTCCGGAACACTAAGGGAGGGTGCAGGCGAGCAGGGTACTCCGGCCGGGCTGGTCAAGAGGCGAGGCCGAGGGGAGGTGGGGAAGGAGAGGTGGGAGGAGGGCCTCGGAGGCGGAGAAGAGGGGCGGGCGCGGTGGGAGCTGTGTGCGGGCTGCGGCGCGGGCGGGCGCAGGGACGCGATGTCGCCGCCGCTGCCGCCTCCTCGTGGGCCGGGGCTGCGCCGCCGGGGCTGAGCCGCAGCCCCAGCCGCTAGGCGAGCGGCCGCCGGGCGCACCCGCAGCGCGGGAGGATGGGCTGCGGCGGGAGCCGGGCCGATGCCATCGAGCCTCGCTACTACGAGAGCTGGACCCGGGAGACCGAGTCCACCTGGCTCACCTACACCGACTCGGACGCGCCGCCCAGCGCCGCCGGCCCAGACAGCGGCCCCGAGGCGGGCGGCCTGCACGCGGGTGAGTGAGCCAGGCCCGCAGCCCCTGCCCGGCAGCGCCCCGCTCGCGGGAAGAGAAGCCCGCAGCTCGAGCCCCCAGGGAATCGCTGGCGGGGGGCGAGACACGCGGACCCTAGCACAGCGCGCGAGCACCTAGAGCCCCCACTCAGCTCCTGTCCTGAGCTAGCGGGACCAACGCGGGGCCAGGGCCGGTGCGGGGTCCGCGGCGGGGGACCAGGGGACGGGCAGCTCACTCCGCCACTCACCCACCCCAGGCCTCCCACCCGCCTGGGGCTCGCCTCCCCGCTGCGGTGATCCAGAGGCCCCTCTTGCCACCTGCGCACCCGGGCGGTGACTTCGCCACCCCATAGCCACCTGGTCCCTCTCTCGTTTTGTAGACAAGGCGCCTTCCTGGGGTTGCCCCGGTGGCGTCGTCGCGTCGCTTCCTCTTCCCACCCTTTGGGAACGAGCCCTGCTCCCGGGCTTCAACCCCAGAATCCTGGCTCAGGGCGGAACAGAAGCACCTGTCCGTGCGCGTGCACGCTTACGCCCGCTCTCGGCGCGGCTCCACAGCCCAGGGCTTCCCTCCCTCCCACCCTGCCCGTGGCGCCCAGCGCTATAGGAGGGAGCGCAAGGAAGTGGATTTGGACTGTTAACTAAACGCCCCCACCCGGGCCGCCCTGTGCAGTGGAAATTTGATGGCAGGATCTGCAAAGAACTTTCTGGTCCGGTCACAGAATTTTTTTCTTTATGAGGCAAACACTGATGATTTTAGCAGAGATGAAAATTGTTGCATTAACTGACCATTAACTATAAGTGCGCTCATGACATGAAACGGAAGAAACCCACTGCTCATTACATGGGTGTTGTCAAAAACCAGGTGAATACTTGGATAACAAAAAAAAGTTGTACCTGTTTGCGACCCCTTGTGTTGTTGGCAGTTGTGAGCAATGAAATCTGAACTAGAAGTAGGGCTCACGGGAGGCGTGATGTGTAATCCTACAGTGCAGGAGGGAGGAGTGGGAGCGACTGTAAAAGGTCAACAGCCCTGAATCCACTCCCACAGAGAGCTGTTGCTTCAGTCTCGAGAGTCCTCCCGTGGGGCCCCTTTGCCGTGTGAACTGGGGACCTGCTTTCCGGTGAGTGAGAACCCTGTGAGAGCGCTGCCACACAGGGCTCCGGGTATGCCTCTCTGTTTCTGACTCCCAGTGGCAGGTGCAGCGGTTATTTTGTTGCTGATGCTTTCAGAAGTTCCCAGGTGACTGCCGGCTGAGCTCAGTGTCAGAGTGAGGGTAGGGCAGGAGCCTTTCACAGGAGCCTGGTGAGTGCTGGATGTCACGGTGTTTCCCGCCCTTGACTTCTCCGCAGAGGCCACGGCCAGAGCTGTGCTCCAAGAAACAGGGGTAAAAAGACCTAGTGTGAAAAGCAAAACGAAAACACAAAAAGACAAAGTTCAGCTTTTGGGAATGGTAGCCTTGGTGAGTGGGAGTATCTGGGGTGTGTGTGTGCATGTGTGCACGCCTGTAGTGGTACTGAGAGGGGTATGGGATGGCTAAGTGTGTACATATATGTTCCTCAAGTCTTTCCCAACGTTTATTCATTTATTACTGTGGCACCCCAACTTGTATCCCATCCATCGTGGAATGTGATTCCTGCAACAGGCGGTGCCCTGGGCAGGAGCACCGCTCATGGTGCCTGTCAGCCCGGGCAGCCCTGCCTCACGGCTGGTGCAGAAGGCCCGCGTCACTCAGGGGCTCAGCTCAGGACAGCACCCTCAGATTGGCCACACTCTTAGATGGGCGGCATGGTTTCAACTCCCTAGAAATTTCTATCAGCCCCGGAGGGAAATGGCATTTCTGAAGATGCAGATGGAGGCAAAGTTTCCCTAGGAGTGCTCTGGTGTTCCCTCGGGCCTTTGGAAGAGTGGCTTGATCCCGGGGGCTCTTCTGCCTGTACACTGGTCATCTGTAGTCAGCGAGGGGCATCAGGGAAAGCTACAAGTCTCCTGGGTTGCAGCCACCCTGGGAGATTTGCCAGATCCTTTAGTTTTTTTCTTCCTTGTTGCTCCCCTGCCTCACCCACCCGCTGCCAGTGCTGTACCCGTGAATCCACTGGGAGACAGCCGTGGCCACAGTAGCAGTGGGGCAGGGACCCAGGCCACCATATATTCCTGTTTACAGCAACCCCTTTGTCTCAGGCAGGGCAGCAAGAGGAAGAGCCGGAGGCAGGAGAGTCCAGACCATTACATCAATGGAAAGGCACATGGGGTTCTCAGTGGGATGGTCCCATTGAGGGACGACCCTCCCCTACCTCACAGCCCTTACCTACCTGTGGGGAGCAGGGCCTGTCTCCCGCAACATGGCGAAATAAGTATTGAGACTACCGAGACTAGACTAGACCACTGAGACTGTTAAGATTAACTCTATGCATCTGATCTCCCATCATATGGCGCTGAGAGAGAGTAAACAAATCTTACACAGCTGCATCGTTAATTAGCTGGTTCCTGGCCCAGTCCCTTAAAAGGGGGAGAGAAACAACATGGGCTGCCGCCCCCCCCCCCCCCCCCGAGAGTCGGTGGGAGAGCTCGCGGGTCCGCTCCTCCGTGAAAGTAGGGGAGCAGGGTCCGGTGTCGTTCCTCCGCGAGAGGGGGAGCGACACCTATCCTCCTTCCTCAGCCCTCAATATCTTCTCTTTCTGGGCCTCCTGTCAAATAGGCCACCGTAAACTCGGGATCTTCAAGGGCACCAATTAGACTTACCTCCTCTTTGTGTCCCTGTGTGAGCTCACAGTGCAGCCACGCGAGGCACAAGGTTGGGACTTGTGGAGTTTTCTGAATGGACAGCCAGGCAGTCACTGTAACCCTGCCCTTCCTTCTTCGCAGTCCTTGTCCTTCCCGGAGTCCCTCTTAGCCCGCCTTCCTGTCGCCCTTGCTGTGGAAGCTTTTCCACCCACCCTCCCCGGTTGCAGCTTCTCTTACAAAGCGTCCCACTCTGGCCCCCAGCCTCAGCCCTTCCCTTGAAACCCCTGGCCCAGCCCAAACAGTCCATCTCCCATGTCAGCACCCTGCATCCCAGCCCCAGCGCTGGGTCTGTTTTTAACTGTGATGCCATCTTCTCCCAGGACAGATTCCACGGCTCACCGTGGCTGCTGGGGGTGGAACGTGCTTTCCTGTTCATCCACAAAGGGGAGCTTCTTGCCCCCTCTTTAGTCAGAAAGTGAGCACCTGTTTTTGGAGACACACTCCACTAGCCAGGAGAACTCGATTCATTTGGGTGTGCCTACTCTGTGGGCTGGAGTTGAAGGCTTGGCTGAAGTCAGCCTGCCTGGCATCCACGGCTTGCCTGTGTCCATGAAGGCTGTCTCTGTGCAGAGGGAAATTCGGTGGGGCGTGATTTACTCCTCATAGCCTCAGTTCACTGGATTGGTTTTTGCTTCTGATGTCAGATGAACCTCCAAGGAGCAGCGGGGTCTGGGGTTGACTTGCTGCAGCCTAGTTCCGCCCTTCCATGCGTGAATACCTCCTAGCATCTCCTCCAGTGAATTGCAGTCCCTTTAATTACATCCCAAGGGCCCCCTTTTGCACTGCTAGGGTGGGTTTTTCCCCTTCCCCAAGTTTCTCTAGAGAATAAAATGTGTCCTATTTCTCTAAAGTGCTTCTGTATGTTTTGAATTGCTACAATGATTGCTTTAGTATATGGAAATGCAGAGAATGGGAGACTCACAGCAAAATGATTCACCCAAATAAACTGAGACAGTTAAATAAAACGAAGAGCGCTTACCATTACCATGAGCTAACACTGACTGACAGTTTACCCAGGGCTGGGCGCTATATGCACGTCATCTCATGAATCCCGACAGCTGCGATGAGGTAGGGCTGTTGTCACCCCCATTTTATAAGCAAAGAATGAGGCTCAGGGAGCGCCAGTGACTTCTGCCTGCCGGAGACTGGGGTCCAGCTGTGTCCGACTCCAAAGCCTGTACCCCTCAATACTGTCTTCCTGATGGGTGGGGGCTGGCCTCCGAGGTCTGCATCTTCCAGTTGGTGGGACTCACAGTTGAGTCAGATCTTTTGATTTCCAATCCAATCTGCAAGGCTGTTCTGCATATTCCCAGGCGGTGGCAGCCCTCCCCCTGGCCTGGGGCCTCCCCGGCACTGCTGTGGCGCAGCCTCCCTGGGAGGACCCCTCCTGTTCTTTGTGATTGCTGCTGGGGAGCTCCTGACCGTGGGAGGGGAGTCTTGCCCAGACAGCTCTGTCAGTCTGGGGGGGGGGGGCGGTGACCACCTCCTCCTACAAACACACGCAGTCCTGCTGTCACTTCTCAGTCACAGCCACCTAACGACACTCTTTGGTTTGCCAGTGCCGTTTTATTTTTAAGATTTATTTTATTTAATTGACAGGGAGAGACAGCGAGAGAAAGAGATCTTCCATCTGCTGGTTCAAACCCCAGATGGCCACAATGGCTGAGGTTCCAGGCCAAAGTCTGGAGCCAGGAATTCTATCCAGGTCTCCCACATGGTAGCAGGGCCCCCAAGCACTTGGGGGCATTTTCCACTGCTGTTCCCAGGCACATTAGCAGGGAGCTGGATCAGAAGTGGAGCAACTGGGACTCAAGCTGGTGTCTGATATGGGATGTCCGCGTTGTCAACTGTGACTTAACCCACTGCATCTCAACGCTGGGCCCCAACTTCTTGAAACTTGAAGTGAGGAATCCATGGTTGGCTCCAGGCTACCTGAGCATCACAGGGCAACACACAGTGTATTGTGATGAGGCCTGGGAAGGAGTCTCTCCCGGCACAGGCTAAATGGGTTACAATTTGTTTGTTTTCCCTGCTGCTGTTGCCATCTTACCTTGATGACTCACACTAAGCTTGTGATCACTTAAAACCCCGAGGGCTTTCTTTCTAATCAAATTTAAGTTCAGGGACATTGTTCCTATTTTCTCTGCTAACTACCTGGCACTCAGTGATTAGAATATGGGTGGCCTGCGTGTGTTTGTTCAATGAATGAGTTCTCCCGTGAA